TATTCTATTCTATTCTATTCTATTCTATTCTATTCTATTCTATTCTACTCTACTCTACTCTACTCTACTCTACTCTACTCTACTCTACTCTACTCTATTCTAGTGGGTGGCTTTAAGATGTAGATAATAAACAGGAAGACAAGAAGATTAGAGATAGCCTTTTTCTACTCATGAATTCTGGCTGGGTTGAACTTCCTGATTCCAGCCCACAGCAAATACAATTCTCAGATGACACAAATTTCCAACCATCTGTTGGTGCAGGGCAGTGGGAATTGTAGCCGTTTTTCTCTCAAAGGCCTCCTGGTCTCATTCCTAGCTGTTGCTGCTGCTTGTTACATATTTTTCCTACAAGTTTGCATGATTCTTGTACAAAGACATCTCAAAGCCATTTACAACACATAAAACCCACCATCAAATTTAATAATGGAATATAATGCCAAAAGCTTCGTTCAATAAATACAAAGAGAGGAAAGCAAAAGATGAATGACAGAGCATTTTAATCCAACATTTATTTAGAAAAGGTCAAGAGGGAGACATTAAATGGATACCCCAAAAGTCTACATGGAAGCAGAGCAACAATTGTGCAAGGAAGCACAAGTCCAATTGCAGGTCAAAAGAGCATTTAGGAATGTAGGGGATTGTAGACTATAGGGAAGACTTTCCGACAAACACCTATAAAACAGCAATTATTAATTCCCAACACACTCAGGAGAATTATCCCTAATATTCTTAGTAATCAAACAGGTCTATAATGGGAAAGCTTGTTCCCAGGCAGGTATTCAAAACTCTATTACAGGTAGTCCTTCCTTAACTATGATAATTGGGACTTGAATTTTCACTGCTGAGAAATGCAATTTGAAAGTATGAAATCATATGACAGCAGTTCCAGCAGTCTCCAAGCTGCCATCATTAAACAAGAATGTTGTGTGTTTGCAACGTTTGATTTCCTGCCAGCTTCTTCACTGACTTTGCTTGTGGGGAGCAGGCAGAGACATCACAGATTGCATCCACATGACTGTGGGATGCTGTGTGACATCATAATCAGGCACCTAGTATCTCTATCACAATGATGTGACTGTGGGGTCTGCAAATGGCTGGAGCTTCGAGGACCAGTTGCAATTATTACTTATCATCACAAGTTCAAGTGATTGCTGAACAAGTGGTTGTTAAACAAGGACCATCTCTATATAAACAACTGCTACAAGTGTCTTTGTTGCCAGAGAAGGCTCTTAGAAAAAGAGTATAGCCTTTATCCTAATATGCTCAGGATACATTGCCTCTAAGTGGGAAAGTTCAGTTGCTGCATTCTCCTAACGCAATTGCTTCAATCTCAATAAACCTTGTTAAAGAGAGCTCTGCAAGAATTGTGCTTGGAAAGTTCTTGGGATTACTTTTAATTTAGGCAACTGTCAAGGAGCTGGACAGAAAGGAAGTCACGTCCCTTCCCTTAAATCCAGCCAAAGTTTGTGGCTGCACACTTTCCAACCATGTAATTGCCTCACCAGATTGCTTCCTGAGGTTAGTCGGAAGATTGAAGGCTGTTTTGTGGCTCTGTCCTCAAGGAGGTTGCCCTGCACCTATCTGGATATTTAAGATCCATCTCCAATATTCATTGACATCTCACATTTGTAACTTCTAAAAACATTAAAGGATGCTCATTTTTATCTTTCTGCCTGATTGCATCCAACCTAAGACAATCTTTTAGCCTCCCTTCTGTCCAACTCCTTGAGAGTTGCTTAAATTAAAAGTAATCTCAAGTACTTTCTGCCAAGAGACTTAAATGATGCAGTATGAATTGGCTAAAATATATATATATCTAAAATATCTACTATGACTTTGCTGCTTTTGATAGTGGGAAATAATAGGAGGAGGAGTGGGATGGTTTTAGTCACACACAGTGCTGAGCTCGTTTCTTTAACAATGCTTTGCCAAGTGAATCACAACTGGCTGACAGAAGTTGTGGTTTATGAGCCTCAGCTAAGTGGCCAGATATTTAAACCAAATTCTTTAAAACACGCACTCACACATTCAGAATTAATTCATTTTGCATACTCAGCTATTGAATGCACTTGTTTGTTTATGATCCCTTCAAGTTATTGGTGACTCCTGATGGCCACCTGGATTACTTCCTGCAGTTTTCTTGACAAGATTTTCAGAAGTGTTTGCCACTTCATAGGGCTGAGAGACAGTGCCTGGCCCAATGTCACCCAGCTGTTTTCATGCTTAAGGAGGGACTAGAACTCATGGTCTCCAAGTTTCTAGCCACTATTTAACCATATATAATATTTACCGAAAATAAATATGAAATTATGTTTGTATATTTCCCTCCTTTCTTTTTTATACTGTGCTCATTTGAAATGTACTCCTGGCTGTTTCTTCTAGAGCTCTCTCTGTCCATCTCCCTCTCTCTTCCTTTCCCTCCCTCCCTCCCTCTCTCTCCCTCCCTCCCCCCTTCTCTCTCTGTGTTACAGATACACAGAGGGAGTGTCATCCATCTCCACTCAAAAAATTTGAGAAAATTTGATTGCAAAGAAATGCCAGAGCATTTTAGTACTGTTGGAAGTTTGGCCATCTGGGCGCTCAACCTTTCCAGACCTTTGCAAAAGTCCATCCTATCAGCCTTCCAATATCAAATTGTCCTCTTGGCAGACTTTCTCGCCCCCTGGTGGGAAGGAGAACTGCAAAAGGAAGAACTTGGGAGCTTATCCAGAGAGCAGCCAGAATGGAGAAGACCGAAGGAGTTATTCAGGACGAACAGAGAATAATAATAATAATGAAAATAATAATAATAATAATCAAAGGACCGGCCTTCCCGAGTTTCAGGACCCTGGAAAGCGCGAGGCAGGGAATCCGGAAAGCGAGGGAAATGGCCACGCCGAAGTTTTCCTTAAATTGGAAAGTTATTCATCGAGGAACTTGGAGCAGAAACAGAATCAAAGAATCAACCACAGTATGAACACAATGGCATCGATGAGTAATGATTACATATCATTAATCTGTCTAATCTACTCCTTTTAGCCCACCGCACAGATACATTTTCTCCATTTGATCTGTCCCTTAACCTGGTCTTTCAGCTCTTCCAACGGTACCATTAAATTAGCATGCCTGTAACGGCGAAGGGTGCCGCAACTGGCATAGTGTCCAAAAGGAAGATCAAATTGATCTAGTCGCCTCCCCTCCAGGAGACGGTAAAGATATTCTCCCTGCAACTTTCAGCCGAGAGACGTTTTCCCTTCATCCTCTCCGGTTCCAAAATCGACCCGTGCGGGGTTTCAAGTAAAAGCTGAGGGCGAGGAGGCAAGTCGGCGTCCGTCCTCTGAGTGTCTTTTAACCTGGTTAGCGTTATCTTGGGTCTTTATAAAGACAAGGGGAAGGGAACGGGAGGAAAGGGAAAGTGGGAAGGAAAGAGGCAAGGAAAAGGAACGACGGGGAAGGGGAAGGAAAGAGGAAGAGGCAAGGGAAAAGATAGGGGAAGGGGATGGAATGGCGAGGAAGGGGAAGGAAAGAGGAAAGGAAAGGGAAAGCTAGGGAAAGGAAAAGAAATATTATATCATGCACTATATCTAATTTGTGGGAAGAGTCGGCGGAGAAATTGCTGCAGCGAAGGGAAAAAAAAACAGCCAACCCCCCCGGAGTTCCTCGTTTTCACCTCCCTCCCGGCCCTCCTCCTCGTAGCCCGTCGGGTCCCTCGGGCATGGCCACAAGGCGCCCATTGGAGCCAGGCGGGTGCCGCCCGGGCGCGGGCGCGGCCCCGGGAGCGCGCGTGGAGCGCGGCCGCGGGCAGCCTCGTCCTCGGATCGAGGCAGGTTCGACTCCCCCACTCCACCCCGCTTCCCCCCCCCCCAAATCGCCCTCCCTTTCCTGGGCGACGCTTAACCAGGCTATTTTTAGGCCGGCTCTGGCGAGGGACGGAGGAGGCCGGAGCCGCAGCCACCCCCGGGCGGACCCCGGCCGCGTCCGCCTCGAAGGGGCGTCCCGTCCCCCGTCCCCCACCGGAACGACGGGGATGCTCGGGCGGTGAGCTCTGCCGGAGGCATGGAGGACGACTTGGCTTCCGAGGAGGACACGCGTGAGTATGGGGCGAGGGAGGCGCGCGCCTGGGGACTGGTCCCTGCCTCGGGGCGCCGGCAGGTCGGGAGGCCGAGAGCGAGGAGATCAGCCCGGCGGGGCGTCGTCCTTTAAGGGCTGGGGTGGAGGGGTCGCGGAAGGGTCCCTTCCTTGGTGGGTGGGGGGGAGAACCGGAGGAAGGGAGGTGGCCCGAAGCAGCGACAGATCCCTGCTGGGTTCCGCGCGATCTTCAGCCTGCTTGTCGTCCGTGAAAAGACGGGAGCCCAAATCGCAACCTTTTGGATTGGGGTGGGGGACAGTTGGAAGACGGGGGAGAGCACGGGGGGAGGGCATTGCCACCAACCAACTGTGATTCAGGGTCAAAATCCCGCAAGGGTCGGCGGAAACTCCTTGGTTCTAGAACACTAATTTTAGCATTTGGGGTTCCACCCACACCCCTCTACCAACTCCCCACCCTGTTGACTTCAAGGGATAGAGAATTATTAGGTCGGTGGAGGTGTGTGTGGGGGGTGGAATCATATTGGCAATGGTTATGGGCAGAAATGAATGGCTTGTCCCTCAAAGTGCAACTATCCAGGTTTACAAACTTTAAGCCAGATGTTTCTTTTTTCTTTTTTTCCAATCGCAGGGGCTGAACTGACAAGCTAAACCCATCGGATCAGTTAAAATATAGGCCTGCTTTTTTTGTACCTTCTCTCTTTATTCGTTTTATTCAGCAATTGATATGACTGCCAGTCTCACCAGAGGAGGGATTCTAGGTGTTATGGTGGTTGTTGGTTTAGGAAGGAGGAGGAGAAAAGGGAGTGATAGTAGATCTATATCCTGATCGTCCAAGAATATTTCAGATTTTATTTATTTATTATGTTACATTATTACATTTATACAGCTAGGTAGTCCTCAGCTTGTGAAGTTACAGCAGCACTAAAAAAAAAATGACCCGTTTTTTCACACTTATGACCATTGCAGCCCTCCCCCCCATGGTCACGTGATCAAAATTCAGAGGCTTGGCAACTGACTCGTATTTATGACAGTTGCAGTGTCCCTGGCTCATGTGATCCCCTTTTGCGACCTTCTGACAACCAAGCCAGATTCACTTAACAACCATGGGACTAACTTTATGACCACAGTGATTCACTTAACAAGAATGGTTGTAAAATGGGGCAAAACTCACTTAACAACTGTCTTGCTTAGCAACAGAAATTTGGGGCCCAGTCATGGCCGTAAGTCAAGGTCTACCTGTATGCCACCCATTTCACTATTCAAGGTGACTCTGAGGAAGACTAGAAAGTCACCACAAAACAAAGGAACACACAGCCCATTTGTACGTCTCTTAATGTGACTTATTATAGCGTTGTTCGACTGTACTCAGCAATGAGTCATATAACCCAAATTCCATATCTGATATTAACACAGTTGAGAAAGTCCAGAATATTTCACAAGAAGAGTTCTCCACTCCTCTACTCATTGAAGAATATCTTATGCCACCAGACTTGAAATTCTAGACCTAGAAAATCTAGAACTATGCCGCCTTTGGTCCAATCTAAGTATAGTATATAAAATCATACATTGCAATGTCCTACCTGTCAATGAATATTTCAGCTTCAACCATAACAACACAAGAGCAAACAAAAGATACAAACTCAAGATAAACTGCACCAAACTTGATTGCAGGAAATACGACTTCAGCAACAGAGTGGTCAATGTTTGGAATACTCTACCTGACTCTGTGGATTCTCCCCCAAACCCCAAAAACTTTAACCTTAGACTTTCTACTATTGACCTCACCCCTTTCCTAAGAGGTCTGTAGGTGGCGTGCATAAGCACGCCAACGTGCCTACCATCCCTGACCTATTGTTTCTTTTTATTTTTCTTATATGTATCCATTTCATGTATTCATAACTATATTTATACTTATACCTATTATCTTATAATTGCTTGACAAATAAATAAATAAATAAATAAATAAATAACACTTCTTTCTCTGGAAAGGGAGAAAGGGAGAAATTACATAGTGGATCATATTTCTGCATTTATTTCCTGATCATGCTTTGAGTCCCTTTTCAAATGAAGTAGAACAATAGAAGGACGTGTTCTTTGTGTGAGTTTTCTGAGGTGGAACATTATGGCATAGAGAAAAATAAGTTATGGGAGAGCTTTTGCAATCATATATATGTATATATGATTCTATGATTCTTATATTTTATATATATATAAAAGCTAAATACCACTCAGGCATCATCACAAAATCTCCAGAACTGTAAAGCCTACAAACTTGAAATTTGGCACGTATGTTCCTCTTGGCTTCTAGATGCTCACTAAGAAAGGATTTTTCGAAATGACCATCAGAGCATTAGTATTTCCTATATTATTATTAACAAGCTCTGATGCTAAGGAGTTCTGCTCCACCTGAAAAGAACTCTGTTCCAACTGCCAATTTCCTCACATTCCGTTACCTCAGTTCAAACCGCCAGATGTTTCACTCCTTCCTCAGGAGCAGCCTGGGGCTCCTTACAGTACTAAACGTCGGTACCTCACCCAAATGTCTACACCTTCCACCTCTGGAACTTGCTTCTGGACTGAAGGCAGTGGAGGCCATATTCCCTTATGTGTTTCAGTCACCGACCACCACTGAGCCAATGGATGGTGAACCAAATTTCTCCTGCAAAGCCCGATCCCAAAGTTTCATCACGAAGCACAGGGATCCAGCTAGTTTTGTTATACTTTTCCTTCTATGCTGCAATTTTCCCTCCTGAGAAAGCAGCAAAGGAAACATCAACCTTATTTTATTTTTTTTATTTTATTTGTTTGTCAAACATGTACAAGATAACAAGTATAAATATGAACATAAACAAGAACAAAGGAAGTAAATACAGATAAATGGGGACAATAAGACAGGGACAGTAGGCACGCTGGTGTGCTTATGCATGGCCCCTTTAAGGACCTCTTAGGAATGAGGTGAGGTCCATGGAAGGCAGTTTGAGGTTGAAGCTGCGAGGGGTTGAGGCAAGGATGGGATCAGACTGGTATAACTACCAGTTCTGTTGCTCTGCGTCACACGTGAGTCGCGCGAGTGCAATTTATGACTTGTTGAGCAGCGTGCGTGCAAGTGTGCAGTGGTTGGAAAAGCTCATTTTTCCTGCTTTTTCAACTGCAGCTGTGTCACGCAAAGGAGCTGTGGTTGAAAAAGCGGAAAATAAAGGTCAGGTAAGAGCCCAGGCGGGTGGGCCAAAACAGCAGCAGACATAGAACCGGTTCTATGTATGCTCTATATCTGCTACTTTTCAGAGCAACCATATCTACAGAGGTGGACGGAACCGGTAGAATCCCACCCTTGGGTTGAGGCTGTAACAATGGAGTTGGGTAGGGCGTTCCGGGCATTGACCACTCTGTTCCTAAAGTCATATTTTCTGCAATTGAGTTTGAAGCGGTTTACCTTGAACTTGTATCGGTTGTTTGTCCATATATTATTGTGGTTGAAGCTGAAGAAGTCATTGACAGGCAAGATGTTACAGCGATATAATGTAGAGTTAAATATTATAGACTCATTCCTACAATTGGGACTAGACTCTTGCTAAGTAAGGCGGTTGTTAAGAATTAAGACTGAAAGAGATCTGTGCTGACCCTCTGTTCTGCATCCAGCCCCCCAAACCCTCCCCTGAATTTTCACTTTATAATTTTAACAATCTTTAACAAGCCCTTTCCTTCTCTCAAGTGCTCCTTTCGGAGAAGATGTTCCACGATGCGGCCAAACAAAACGACACAGCGTCCATGATCAAGCTGATCAAGAGAGGGGTGGATGTCAAAGCAAAGAATAACGTGGGTATTTTAACTGGGTGTGGGAGGTATAGAACGGGGTTATTTGGCAAAGATTTGTACCTCTCTGTGTCCCTGTTTCTCAAAATTTAAATCCTGAAGTGTGATGCTTTGTGTTACTTGTGGAATGCACTTTGGCAAATTGGGATGGCGTGAAAAAAAGAGGTGGGAAGAATAAACGGAGGAGGCCAATCCTATTGAGAGATTGCTGGTCTCCTATCCCAGGTGTTTTAATCAATCAGAATAGAGCTGGAAGGGATCTTGGAGGTCTTCTAGTCCAGCCCCCAGCTCAAGCAGGAGACCATATACCATTTCAGACAGATGGCTGTCCTTCTGTCTTCTTAAAAACTTCCAGTGGTGAAGCACCCTCAGCTTCTGAAGGCAAGCTGTTCCACTGGTTAATTGATAATTAATAAAGCACCAGGATCAGGTAACTATTGCTAGATCCAGGAAATAATGAGGAGGGCAGCACTAAAGCTTTGAGAAGAAACAAGATGACCCCTTTCCTTTCCAAAGCAGTCCTACCCACAAACAAGTGGAATGTAAGTCTGGTTGTAAAAATGTCTTCCCATGGACTTGCATTATAAGATCATGGTTTTCATCTCAGGACTGCAGATAGCTGATCAGCCATTAGGTGGGAGCCAAGAGATATGGTCTGCATCTCACTGCTACTATCTAGTGGTCATGCACGGATTTACAGTCCACATACGCTGCCCCTAACAAAAGACAACCAAGAGATAGATGTGGCTCAGAAGTTTCCATCAGGTTCCTGCCTTTGTAAATTCCAGGGCTCTTTCAGATCAACCAGTGTTACTACTGACTGCTTCTAATTTGTCTCAGTTGGATAGGAGCAGAGACTGGGGTGGGGGTGGGGGAAACTGGTAAGTTCCCAATAATGCTTTTTCAAGGGGCAACTAGACTTTCTTTTTCCTTGAAGACATTTCACTTCTCATTCAAGAAGCTTCTTCAGTTCATGGAGGAGAAATGAACCGTCTTCAAGGAAAAACAAAGTCCAGTTGCCTTTTGATAAAGCACCTTTGGGACAACCATGACCTGGATGACTGAAAAACTCCATAGACACTTGGCATTGGCAAGGTCACCATGTGGTGATCCAGGCTGAGGCCGTCTCTTTTAGCTTGCTCCTTAGGAGTCTGTCTGTTGACAGAAGGACTAAGCCAATGAAGAACAGAATGCGGGTGACTTTAGACTTGCGCAACTTTGACAGAGACAAACAAGGGGAACAAAGTTGCTCTCCTGGCTTAATTTCTCTTTCTTTCCAGATAGACAGGACCGCTCTCCACTGGGCTGCAGGAGCTGGCCATGAACAGGCAGTCCGCCTTCTCCTGGAACACGAAGCCTCCGTGAACGGTGAAGACAGTGTGAGCTTTTTCGCCATGCTTTGTTTACTAGCTCGAACACAATGAGTAACATGTCACTTATATTCAGAGATTTTTTTTTTCCTAGCTTCTCAAACACTTTTCAATGTTTGAGAAGCTACGAGAGTCCATTTTTTAAAGTCAAGACTATTTTGAAGAAATCCTTTTTGAAAAAAAAGTGCCAGAACCTCCGTCAGATTATTTTCGTGCTCTTTCATTCCAAAGGCTCGTTTTATTGACTTTTAGGTTGTAGAGGAAAATGGGATTATCTTGTCATTTGCATTCCTTTAACACTGTAAGTTTCTATGGAAATCAAGATCAGTTGATTTTTTTGCTTCTTTGGCCAAGGATAAATGTTTGTTGCTGAAAAGCAAGAAAGATGATATAGAATCTGATGTTTAAATCAAATAATAAATAGTTAAGGGAGCTAAGTATGTATAAAGCCTTAGTAAGACCACACCTAGAGTACTGCGTCCAGTTTTGTTCACCACATTATAAAAAAGATGTTGAGACTCTAGAAAAAGTACAGAGAAGAGCAACCAGGATGATTAGGGGACTGGAGACTAAAACATACAATGAACGGTTGCAGGAACTGGGCTTGGCTAGTCTAGTAAAGAGAAGGACCAGGGGAGACAGGAGAGCAGTCTTCCAATATTTGAGGGGCTGCCACATAGAAGAGGGGGTCAATTCATTTTCCAAAGCACCTGAAGACCAGACAAGGAATAATGGATGGAAACTGAACAAGGAGAGATTTAACCTGGAAATAAGAAGAAATTTTCTGACAGTGAGAATGATCAACCAATGGAACAGAAGTTGCCTTTGAAAGTTGTGGGAGCTTCATCACTTGAGACTTTCAGGAAGAGATTGGACTGCCATCTTGCAGAAATGGTATAAAGTCTTCCGCTTGGGTGGGGGGCTGGACTAGATGACCTACAAGGTCCCTTTCAACTCTGATTATCTGTTATCTGTTATGTCTAGCCTATTGAAGAGAAGGATTGGGGGTGGGGTGGGCGAACATGACAACTGTTTTCCAGTGCTTGAGGGGCTGTCACAGAGAAGAGGGGGTGGACTTGTCTTCCAAAGCACAGGAGGACAGGACAAGAAGTAACAGGGGTAAGATATTAGATTGCGCGGAGATGGATAGATTGACATTCAAAGTAAAGGATAAGGAACAAACAGAATATTTTTTAACATGGGATTTGTTTTATCAGTGGCTAGATAAAAGGGGGAGAAATTAGAAGACAAATGATTATTACTATGTATAAGTAAATGAAGAAAGATTATATTATAAATAAATAATATTATTACTATAATTACCAATATTATCACCGTTATTAGTATTTCTTAGTATAACCGAACTAACTCAGACAATACACTGTTTTACTAAGCACAAATGTTAATTAAAGAAAAAAATGTATAAATAAAAAATTAAAAAAAATAAGAAGTAACAGGTGGAAACTTATTAAAGAAAGACCCAATTTAGAACTAAGGAGAACATTCCTGACAGCGGAAACAATTAACCAGTGGAACAGTCTGCCTCTAGAAGCTGTGGGTGCTCCATCACTGGAGGTTTTCAAAAATAGAAAGGACAACCATTTAACCAGGATGGTATAAGGCAGGGGTGGGATTCAAAAAAAATTACTACTGGTTCTGTGGGCGTGGCTTGGTGGACGTGGCAGGGGAAGGTTACTGCAAAATCCCCATTCCCTCCCCACCCCACTAACCTGCTTTACAGCTCTGTTCTTCTGTGCAGGGCAACCAAAGAAGACCCAGCCAATCAGCTGGGACTCGGAAGGCAGAGAATAGATGGAGGCGGGGTCAGTCAGAGGTGATATTTGGCGGTTCTCTGAACTATTCAAAATTTCCGCTACCAGTTCTCCAGAACTGGTCAGAACCTGCTGAATACCACCTCTGGTATAAGGTCTGCTGCCTTGAGCAGAGAGTTGGACTAGAAGATTTTGAGGTCCCTTCCAACCCTATGATTCTATGTTCTAACTTTCCTTTTCTCATCTTCCTGTTTTCCAGTTTGGGATGAGTGCACTTCTTCTGTCGTCTTGGTTTGGTCATTTACGTGTCCTTCAGGTCCTGGTCAATGCTGGTGCTAAAGTCAACTGTGTAAATAAGGTAGGGTAGTTTTTTTCTGGGTTGGGGGTCTCCACTGACAAACTTTCTATGGATTCCATAGGAAGAAATGAATGCAAGAACATGGATAGCCGAAGGAGGCAATCACAACATTGAGATGCAAACTCCCTTCTTAGCATACTTCCATGCAACATGACAGGGATATTATGAGAGGGGGAAACTTGTATTTTGTGGACACAATGCACATTCTGTCATGGTGGCATCAATAAAATTGGGAGCAGCTGGCTCCTATGCCATCAAGATCTGCAGAAAAAATATATATATTGCGTCTTCTGGGTGTGAAAACACCATGCTTTGTTCATGCAACATATTCAGCCAGGTCTATTAGAGAAATAATGGCTGTTCACATAATATATTTATTGAGAAGGGGAGAAAGCCACTCATCACCCCCATACATTTACAGCATAAAGTAAAAACAACCATACGAAAAATATGCCAGAAGGAAAAGAGCCATTAAAGACAATCGAACACAAATGCAACCCAAGATCTGGGAAAAAAGCCAAGTGTTTTAGAACTATTTTGAACACAAGTAGGGTGGATCTACATTCTGAGTGAAAGAGAGCAATAGGATTGATTCAAGTAGCTTTGAGACAACACCCGGCTGAAATATGAGGAAATTACTTTAAAGGTAGTTTCAGGGAAGACAGTTTGGGGGCTGGGGCATTCAAGACACATATGTTGGAGAGCTTAGAATTGTTTTCATCCCACAATACTGTATGGAACCAGCAATGCAACCCTGTGCATGCTTTAATCAATGCTGACTCAGAAGGAATAAAATAGGAGCTGACAGTTGCAAAGCATAGAAAAAAAAGTGCTTCTTTCATGGCAGCTTTTCATTTGCTTGGCAACAGGCAGTGAAATTTCACACATGGGGGAAGGAACTAATTTTTTTAAAAAAAATGGACAGCTGCTTTCTTCATATGCGATCTCCACTTCTAAAAACTCAATCTTGGAAAGCATTTTTTGACCTTCCCCTTAGGACAAGACCATTAAGTTAGGGGTGCAACTGATTCTAGAGACAACGGCCTTAGAAAGATGGGGGTGAGGGAGAGATGGAGATTTTTTTTTAAAGTTAAAATGTCTGCTGCAATTACATGATTCAAACTCCACCCCCTTTTTGCCAGCATTACAAGGGGGTGGGGCCTCAACCTTTCAATCATATCCCCCATCTTGACTTTTATGATCTTCTCCTAGGACATTCCTGCTTAGAGGTCTTAGCTGTGAACGGTAGCATTACCTGGGACCTGAAGACCAAGATGGGGCAGGTGGCTGATTTATTCCTCCACACCTTGAATCCCTCATCCTTTTTTTTTTTCAGAATGGCCACAACCTCCTACACTGTGCTGCCCAAAGGGGTCATCTCAAGGTGATGAAGTTCATCGTGGAAGATCTGGAAGATGTGCAGCTGGAAAAGAAAGATAAGGTAAACCTTTAGGTTATGTGTAGTCTCCCTTTCCCCAGGTCAATGAATTGTTCTGGGATCCCCAACAGGGTGCCTTTAAGTTCTAATGTACTTTAAGATTCTTCTGTCTTTCTTTTTCTTCTCCTTCTCCTTCTTCCTCCTTTCCTTCTCCTGTTTCTTCTTTCTTTCTTTCTCCTCCTTCTCCATTTCTTCTTCTTCCTCCTATTCTCCTCCTTCTCCTTTTCCTTCTCTCCTCCTCCTCCTTCCTTCCTTTCTTTCTTTCTTTCTTTCTTTCTTTTCCTCCTCTTCTTTCTCCTCCTCCTCCATTTCTTCTCCTTCTCCTCCTCCTCCTCCTCCAACAGATTACTTGCCCAATAAGATATTTTATTTGTTAAACCAGGATTTAATTATAAAATAGGGATTGTGTAGACCTATGTAGTTTGGTGATTCCAATATGAAACCAGATGGATATTTCTGTTCACTTCCAACTTTGTAACTGGTTGTATCTTCCTTGGTGGCCATTTTCTGAGAGCACCCTCAACACCTTCTCAAAATTCCAGAAGGCGCCATCAAGACCAAAAGAATCGCTTTCCATAGATTGTTTCATTTGATGCTTTGCCACAGGGCAGTGTTGCTAAATGTGTCCTAAGTCAGCCTCCAAATGGTGGGTCCAATTGGCTGAGCAGGGGTTCATAATTGACAGCATGCCAGAAAGAGTTTCCCAGAATGTTTTGCCAAAGTTGCATCTACGGGGAGTGCACAATGACCAAACAGCACTGCCGTCATGACTGCTAAGCTGCAGCCTTTTTGTGTATGAAGTACAAGAAAGGACAATGTTTGCACCATAATGGTGTGAGGCTGCTTTGATCATTTTAATAAAAACACCAACTCTTTCAACACAAACTCACAATATACTAGAGGTTTTAGTTTCCTAATGTGGAAAGAATCTCTGAGGCTAGAAAGTTTGAAAACTAGCAGACCAACTTTTCCTCTTTTATCAGTAGAGCAGAGGGGAACAGAACAGAACAAAACAGAACAGAATAAAATCTGAAAGTGACCTTGGAGTTCTTCTAGTCCAGGGGTCACCAACCTTTTGGACCTCAGGGACCACCAAACTCATAATTTTAAATCCCGCGGATCAGAGACCCTGGGAAAATCCCCAAAAAAGTCTGCAGGAAAATTCACCACCCCGTTTTCCTACCGATTGATCATTCTCTATTTGGGATTGCAGCTCCAGCTCCGTTCTCAGGTAGAGAGAGAGAGTGAGAGAGACTTTTGGCTTCATGCAAGGAAAGTAGCAAGGAAAGCAGTAGAAGCAGAAGTCTTTCTCCCCCAAACTCTGCCAGAAATGAGTCTTTTCCGGTGTACCCACTTGGAGCGGGATGCCTTGCAGGGTCTCAAAGACTCATTTCTGGCAGAGTTTGGGGGAGAGAAAGAAAGACTTTTGCTGCTTTCCTTGCATGCAGCCAAAGGCAGAAGAAGAAAGAAGTGGAAAGAAGCAACCCGGTGGCCAGGTGAGGCATGTGAGTCGAGTGTTGTTCGCAATGCAAGCAACGCAAGCCTTGTGTTCCTGCGCAGCCCAGATTAATTGTTTTGGGAGGTACTTTGGGGGTGACATTTCTCTGTGGACCACCAACATTTTCTTGAAGACCACCAGTGGTCCCCGGCCCACTAGTTGGCGGCCACTGTTCTATTCCAACCCTCTGCTCAAGCAGGAGACCCTATACCATTTCAGATAAATCTCCTCTTAAAAACCTCCAGTGATGGAGTGCCCACGATATCTGAAGCCACGTACTCTTATCCAGAACCAAAGCTAAAATGAAAAGATCAGCATTGAATCCATTGATAATTTTTTGTTCTGAATGCAAGCCTCTTGCAGCAGAATTCCTCCAAGCCGATTTTATTGTCTTTCATTGACATGAATGTTAAATGTAGATGTGATGACCCAGAGTGTAACACAAACATAACAAAATCGAAAACGTAAATAAATGTCCTTTAATGCCTCCAACTTGGCCCCACTGTTCAATAATTCTCAGGTGGAGATAAAACTTACTCAAAAATAGTCTTCGAAAGAAAGCAATACAGTCTGAACTTAATGAACAGATAGAGGTGAAATAAAACACTAAAACAAACTACAATGAAGGAATTTCCACAACAGACCAGGATAAGTAATTACCAACTTCAAGGAGATAAGGCACAGTCTGTTGGAAGGACACCAACCAAGATAACTTCAGCCCAAAATATAACACACTTTGCTTCTGGCAACAGCTGTGTTTTAACCGTCTCTCTTATATACTATTCTCCCCAGCTGCAACCAATGAGGAGGATCATGGCCACTTCCTCTCTCGTAAGCCAAGTTGTTTCCTTCTCCGTTCCTCCCTGTGTGTCCTAGGATGAATAGAGGATGGGCCTGGGTCTTCCTCTAAATGCCCAGCTGGCCTCTGCCCTTCCCCAGTCTCCTCCACAACCTCTGGAGCCACACCTCCGCCCCCTGTGGGCTGTTCCTCCTCTCCCTCAGAGTCCGACTCTAACAAGGGCATGACAGCAGATAATGCAAAAGGTTTTTTTTAGTGTCTGTTCAAAGTTACAACGGCACTGAAAAAAGTGACTTATGACCGTTTTTCACACATACAACCATTGCAGCATCTTCATGGTCACATGATCAAAATTCTGATGCTTGGCAACTGGTTCCTATTTATGACGGCTGCAGTGTGATCACCTTCCGACAAGCAAAGTCAATGGGGAACCAGATTCACTTAACAGACATATTACTAACTTAACAACTGCAATGATTCGCTTAACAACTGTGGCAAGAAAAGTAATAAGATGGGGCAAAACTCATTTAACAAATGTCTCACTTAGTGACATACATTTTGGGCTTAGTTATGGTCATAAGTCGAGGGCTACCTGTACCAAAATCCAATTTTCTGCAGTTTTCACCGCCTGGTTTTCTCTTCCTCTCCCTTCCCTCTTTTTTCCCCCTCTCTTTCTCTCCTTGTAGGTGGGCAGGACAGCCCTTCACCTGGCTGCCGAGAAAGGGCATCTGGAGGTGGTGGAGTTTCTCCTGGGCCTGGGCTCTTCTCACAGCATCAAAGACAAGGTTTGAAAAAAGACCTGGGAATTGTTTTGCCAAAAATCTCGGAATCTTTTGGATCCTCCAGCTTTCTATCTTTCTCATAGACGTCCATTAGGCTTTCCACAATTAACAGAAAAACAGACTTAGAAGGGATCTTGGGAGGTCTTCAGATTCAATCGATTTCCCTCAAACTATAAAATAAAATATTTGGGGAAAGCACCAACCTGACTTTCATTCAAGAATGTGCAGGAAACCTTGTAATTATTCCTCATAATCTCTCCTATCTCGAAATGCTGCTGTTCCGTTAAACAAAGCCATCGATTCAAAGGTGCTTTTCCAAAAAGCAATTCTGGACTTTCTTTGTTCTTCCTTGAGGAGGTTTCGCTTCTCATCCAAGAAGTTTCCTCAGTTCTGGTGGAGGAGATGGAAAGTTTGTTTCTGACCAACTAAGAATTAAGTCAAAACTACCTTCTGTCTCCCAAACCATCCTGCTAGAACCAATGAATCTTTTTGGATGAGAAGCAAAATGTCTTCAAGGAAAAAACAAAGAAAGAAAATTCAGAGTTGCCTTTTAAAAAAAACACCTTTGGGACAACCATGACCTGAATGACTGAGAATCTCCATAGATGCACACCCATTGATTTATTGTATATATACAATAAACCATATGTGTGTGCGTGTGTGTGTATGTATATATATGTATATGTATATATGTATATATATGTATATGTATACACATATTGACTAGAACTCACTAACCGTTTCTAGCCCAGCCTCTTAATCGCTAAACCAAACTGGCTCACTTATATTTACTTGCCTTGTTTAATATAGAACCCATCCGTCTGCAAATCACTTTGGGTGCCTTAAACTTTACCAGCCAGAACAATACAAATAAGGAACTGTGGTTCATCTGGGTTAGCTGGAGCCGGTTTTTATTGAATTATAAAGTTTAGAAAAGTATTGTTATGTTTTTATGCCTTCTGGAGAAGTTCGGCATGATTGAAGGCAAATAAATTGTGTAAATAGACTTGTATAGCTCTGTTTGCTGGTGTTTAAACAAGTCATGTCTACAATGAAACCTTCAGGAGGTACCATTAGGGATAAACAAATCAAACAATCATTCAGAGTTTGATCCAAGTTCAGGTTCACATGTACTAGGAAGAGAAATTATTCCTGGATTTGTGAGCCATTCAGCTTCTAAGCAGTAGAAATCCCTCCTATAATTATTGATTTATTTAGCATCTGAGGAGAACATGACAAAAGAGAGGCAAATGTATATGGTAGTCCTTGACTTACAACCACAATTGAGCCCAGAGCTTAGGTTGCTAAACTTGTTAAGTGAGTTTTGTCCCATGTTGCAACCTGTGTGAAACATTTTGTTGTGGTTCGCTGGCAGCCGTTGCAGATGATAGCGGAATCGGACAGGGGGGAAGAATGGGGACCAGTCAGGGAGTCCAGAGAGGACTTGGATGGGGGTCCTGCGTCCAGTGCAGGGGTGACTCGGGAGTAAGGCTTGGAGGTGATTGCCTCTCCCATAAGGGATAAAAGTCAGGCCAAGGTGATGAAACCTTTGCAGGAAGCAAAGTCATTTGATTAGTTCTGAGTCATCCTAGAAGCTCTTTATACTTTGGTTGGTTTTTCTTGTATTTCAGTTGGTTTCTTTTCTAGTTAATTTGATACTTCTGTTTTGGCAGCACTTCACAGAACTGAAATGTGTGTGCTTATCTTGGGGGAATGTTTGAGATTAATTCCGGCTGGGAATAAAAACAATTCCCAGCATTGCAATAAAACAAGTTTTGTTTATAAAACAAGTTTGTAAATAATTACGGTTTACAAAGCCTGGGTCAGAGCACATTTGTTAAATGAGGTTGCACATTTTACAACTTTTCTTGCCACCGTTGTTCAGTAAATCTCTGCGGTTGTTAAAATCAGTCACACAGTTGTTAAGTGAATCCGGCTTCCCCCCCCCTTGACTTTGTTTGCTAGAAGGGCACAAAAAGGGATCATGTGACCCCCCGGGACATTGCAACCGTCATAAATGTGAGTCAGTGGTCAAGCATCCAAATGTAAAACATATGACCACGAGGATGCTGCAATGATCATAAGTGGGAAAAATGGTTATAAGTCACTTTTCTTCAATGCTGTTGTAACCAGGTGTGGGATTCAAATTTTTTAACAACTGGTTCTGTGGGCGTGGCTGGTGGGCATGGCCCTGTGATTGGGTGGGCGTGGCTTCTTCTTTTTTGCAGCACCCCCCCATTTTTTTGCCTCCCAGGCCTCAGACAAGCCTCCTGGGGTGGGGGGACGTTTTTGCTCCCAGGAAGGCAAAAAACAGAGCACAGGGGGGTGCATGCAACCCCCCCCCCCACATGCCCTTTTTTGCCCCCTGGGCCTCAGGGAATCCTCCTGGGCAAAGCAGTAAGACATTGAGGGAGTTCCCGGGAGACAGCTGATCATCGGAACAGCTGATTGTCGGGAGAGGGAAAAAAATAAATACCTTAAGGAGTGACTGGGCGAGGGAGAACGCCGTCAGCGATGTCGCACATGCGCAATAAGGACTGACTGGGCAGGGAGGGGAGGGGCGGGCGGAGAGGGGTGGAGCCAGCCAGAAGCACAATTTGCCAGTTCTCCGAACTGCACAGAATCAAATCAACTGGTTCTATAGAACCGGTCCAAACCGGTAGAATTCCACCCCTGGTTGTAACTTAGAAAGGTCACTAAATAAATTGTTGTAAGCCGAGGACTCCCTGTACACACGATCCACGTAATGATATACAAAACCTCCCTCGGGGATGCGGCAGTGGCCTCATAACTGGGCATCCAATTCAGGTGGATGCAGCCGTACTGCCCTCTTGGGCTTCACGGCCATGAAAAACAAGGATGTATAAAATCAGAAGGCCCTTTGGGGGATTTATCATTACTGCTGGAATGGAACATAAAAATGAACTTAATAAAAGCATTTGAGAACTGTTCAGTGAAAAAATAAAAGAGAACTCAATTCTCTGGGAAAAGGCACGAGAAAGAAACTCTAAATATCCTCCCCTTCTTCCGATTTTAATAAAGGAGAATATTTGCAGATCAGGATTGGAATGAGGGGTCCTTGGTGCTCTCTGAGCTTACTCATTTTCTTGCAGATGTTTCATTACTCAACTAGGTGATATTATCAGCGCTAGAGCATTGACTAGCACTGATGGTGTTACCTGTTTTGTCTAATGAAAGGTCTGCAAGAAAATGAGCTCAAAGAAGGACCCCACAGTGCTCCTCCTCCTCCTCCTTTTCCTCCTCCTCCTCCTCCTCTCTGTGAAGCCTACTCCCTTCTTACAACTGATGATGTTACCTAATTTGGGTAATGAAATTTCTGCAAGAAAACAAGCTCAGAGAACAAGGACCCCACAGTCCTCCTCCTCCTCCTCTCTACAAGCCCTACTCCTTTCTTATAACTGATGATGTTACCTAATTTGGGTAATGAAATGTCTGCAAGGAAACAAGCTCAATGAACAACAAGGACCCCACGGTGCTGCTCCTCCTACTCCCCACAAACCCTCCTCCCTTCTTACAACTGATGATGATACCTAGTTGGTAATGAAATGTCTGCAAAGAAAACAACCAAGCTCGGAGAGCAACAAGGACCCCTCATTTGATTCTGCCTGGGATAAGTGGGGCCAGAAGGCAAACTTTCAGGGTTGATATCTGCCCTTCCAGATAGGCCAGGAGAGGAACAGATATTGCAAAGATTCCAGGAATGCCACTTTTATGTTGTAAGGTATAACAACAACGACTTGAAAGCCTGGCAGAATTTCTTTCTACTCCATCTTACGCCAAGTGGGGTCAAGGTGGGATCATTTTGAGTTTCTTTCTCATGCTCCCTCCTTTCCCCAAATGACATGCCTCTGAGCTATGGTGGTGCAGTGGTTAGAGCACAATATTGCAGGCTGACTCTGCTCACTGCCAGCAGTTCGATCCTGACCGGCTCAAGGTTGACTCAGCCTTCCAACCTTCCAAGGTTATTAAAATGAGGACCCAGAACGTTGGAGGCAAGAGGCTGACTCTGTAAACTGCTTCGAGAGAGCTGTAAAAGCACTCCGCAGCGGTATGCAAGTCTAAGTGCTATTGCTATTTCCCCTTCACAGCTCTTGCGTACTTCCACCAAGGTAACTGTTCCATTCTACAGTTGCCGCCCGCTGGGTCACTAGTTGATCAGTGTTTGACACAATATGTATAGTGGTTAAAATATTTGCTTAAGACTGGGGAAAGCCAGGTTTAAGTCTGCCCTCTGCTATGAAAGCCGGGGGCCACAAAAAAGCAGGATGTAAATAATAAGTTTGAAAGTTTATTATAAAATCCAAGTCAAGGTCATGTTCAAATATTTACATGAAGGTTTGGAATGACTCTGTTAATTCCAAATTTGAGATGACTGCATTAATTTACTAACTAATGCCCTTATTTTCTTGGATTCATAACTTAGAAGATGTGATCGTTGGATGGTGCTTTGGGTTGGCAAGGGGATTAGGTGGTGACACCTATTCCGCCATTTTCTATGTATACCACAATGTTACATGCAAACCCCAAAGCAACTGATCTTGTGGTGTGGCACACTGCAACACTACATCCTTCCATGAAAGTAATAACACCTCGTTTGAAAGAATAGTTGTTTTGTTTTTCAGCATCTTAAACTAGAATTTTGCTTTCTCATTGCTAGCACTCTACCCATTGGCAATTAGCCAATATAACGATGATTATCAGATATAATCCCAGAAGTTTACTTTTATGGATTGATTTTATGGTATTGTGCCTGCTAGAATTCCTGGGGCTAGAAAATCCATAGAGATTTAAGATGTTGGTGGACTTGTATGAAAGCAAGAAAATTGGACAAAATTACACACAAGATTGGAAAAGATGATCAAGCAACACATAGATTTGAAACCAGAAATATTTTTGTGGGTTAAATGCCAGGATATGATAAAGAGATTGTATATTTAGCTTTGCATGTATTGACGGCTGCAAGGATTGTATTTGCACAATATTGGAAAAATGAGAACACCACATCAGAGGAGGATGTAACTCAGAAATACTAGACTGTGCAGAGATGGATAGATTGACATTAAAAATAAAGGACAAAGAAGACACAGAATATTACTTAACATGGAACAGATTTTACGAGTGGTTAGAGTTTGAAATTAGGTGAAGAAAGATTATTGTTATGTATGAATTAAATACAAAGAGGGTTGATAACTATAAACATGTTGATATAATTAAGAGAATTATAAATAAGCTAATACATAGAGAAATTTAGTTAAAATTATTTTGCTACACTATTGTTATTGTTATTAGTACATATGTTGATTCTTCTGTTTGTTGTTTTTTGCTTTTTCGTAAATGATATGCCCTGACAATTTACTGTATTCAAAATGTTTATGAATAAAAATAAAACATATACTGAAAAAAGGAGAGATTTAAGATGTGTGGAATTCAATTCCCCAAATTCCCCAGCCAGCAGGCTGATGGAGAATTCTGGGAGTTGAAGTCCATACAACTTAAAAGTGGCCAAGATTGAGAAACAACGTGTCAGATCCGTGTATCTGTCATTTCTTCAGTGGAAGAAGAAAAGGGGGGTGGGGGCTGATAAAGAAATCCTTTCTTGATGTAACCTGAATATATTTAACCTTATAACGAATTTGTATAACCTACACATGATACAATGGAGGGAGAAAAGCCAGATGGTCAGAACCTATCACCTCTGAGAGGCACAGCCAGGAGATGAGAAGATCATAAAAATTCCACAGTGAGATGTATCCAGGGAATCTCTGGAAAAAGTTCATTCTGGGAAACTGTGAGAAAGATCATTCCTACAGAAGGGGTGGGAGGGGAATTAACATACTGGCTTTTGTTTCTCTAAATACACATTGAGATAAGCGGAGGGGTTCTAAACTCCCTTATGTATCCCTGTATGCCTGAGGGACCTCAGACGCTGCTTTGAACTCCTACAGGAATTGTCTCATCTCAATAAAGGATTCCTTTTTGATACGTTTGGTTTTCAGAAGTTCATTCTTGCTAATTGAATGGGAAAAAGTTCTGTAGCCTGACACAATGACTTAGACTTAGAGGAACATTTCCACCTGTTCTCCCACTGGATCCCCACGACAGCTCTACTCCCCTTAATATGGAATGTCACATTGGTTTACAGGAGAAGAACACAGCCCTTCATTTGGCAGCCATGAATGGACATGCAGACGTATTGCAGAAACTTCTAGAAGTTGGCATGGACCCGGACGACAAGAATGCAGTGAGTATAAAACTGAAAAATATGTTTTCCCGCATAGGAAACATGGAAATTTAATGCCAACTCTTTTTCTTGAGTTTTGGTAATAGCCAAAGCAGATTACATGACATAAGGCAGGTGTATGACACAGTCATCCTTATCTTGGCCCCTTGCCATGATTTAGTTGTTTGTGGAGTTCTTGGCTGTCTCTGAACTTGTTTGTTTTCTTGCAGATGTTTCTTAGTTGTTTTCTGCAGACCTAGCACTGAAGATGTGTCTTGCAGAAACATCTGCAATAAAACAACCAAGCTCAGAGAGCACCAAGGACCCCACTGAAGATATAATGTGGTGAGGTAATAAAACATCTTCAAGAAAACAACCAAACTCAGGGAGTTCCAAGGATCTCACTAAAAATGTAACCTAGTCAGGTAACAAAGCATCTTCAAGAAAACAACCAAGGACTCAACTGAAGATATAACCTTGTGAGGTAACAAAACATCTTCAAGGAAACAACCAAACTCGGAGCACCCAAAACTTCACAGCTGAACTCTGAGCTACAGAGATTCTCTTCTATTTGGTTGTCCTTCCAGACTGCTCCAGTGCTCCTTTGCTCCTACACCAATTCCATCTTCTTCCTGAGTGGGCTGCTTTGCAGATCTCATTTGTGCATGCAATGGCCACAGATATGCTACTATGTTGTTTATCCCTGACTGTGTGAGAACTAATTCTCATGCATTAAATTAGGACAACCAGAGCTTTCTTTTCCTCTCTTTCTCCAGGAAGGGATGACTTCCCTACATTTAGCTGCTGAGGGAGGACACAGCGATTGCATCCATCTACTTCTGGAAGCTGGCTGTGAAGTCAATGCCCAAACGCAGGTATGGTTAGTTGATTTGAAGTATTTGGTCAAGACATATCGGAGGAATATTTATTTGTTCTTTTATAGAATAGAATTCTTTATTGGCCAAGTGTGATTGGACACACAAGGAATTTGTCTTCGGTCCATAAGCTCTCAGTGTACATAAAAATACATTCATCAAGAATCATAAGATACAACAGTGATAATCATGGAATACTACAATAAGCAATCAAAATCATACTAGGAAACTAAATAGAACAATATAAACTGTAAAGATGCAAGCAACAAGGTTATAGTCAGAAGTAGGAGATAGGTACTAGGAAGGATGAGAAGAATAATAGTAATACAGTCTTAGTAAATAGTTTTGACAATGTTGTGGGAATTAGTTGTTTAGCAGAGTTATCTATTTATTTGCATCATTTCTATAGCCCAATAATCATGGGGAGGCTACAATGGTTGTAAATATGAGAAACATGCATAAGTGACTTTTTTCAGTGTCATTGTAACTTAACAGTCAATAAACAAATCGTTGTAAGTAAAGAACTAGCTGTAGTAGATTGTTGTGAGCTTGCATTGCCTGAAGTCCTCTTGATTTTTTTTTTCCCAGAAAAAAATGACCTGCCTTCATTATGCTGCACTGAATGGCTATGTAGACATGGCCAAAACCCTTCTTGCTGCAGGAATCCAGACGGATGCTCTGAATTATGTAAGTGACTGATTTCATCAACTGCAACCAGAATATCTCCATTCCTCCAAATAGAGGAGACAGGCGCATCCTCTGAGTTTCCCTTGGAAGGATCACATAGGAGCTGTGGTGGCACAGTGGTGAGAATGCAGTATTACAGGCTAATTCTGCCAACTGCCAAGAGTTCGATCCTGACCAGCTCAAGGTTGACTCAGCCTTCCATCCTTCCGAGGTCGGTAAAATAGTTGTTTATCCCCAGATTATTGTGGACAATAGGCTGATACTATAAACTATTTAGAGAAGGCTGTCAAGCACCGAGGAGTGGAATATAAGTCTAAGTGCTATTGCTATTCCACTCCACCTCTATCTGGAACATCCCGTGGTGCAGCCAGAGCACCAGCAGCTCAAAACTCCAATAGTGTCAGACTTCTAGCTACTATTAGAAGCGGACATTATGTGTGCAATGATTCTGGGATGTAGCTCAGAGGTGCATAAGATTGTTATAAGAACATGGAAAATTGTGAAGAAAGAAACTCAACAACTGCCAAGGATGAACTTTAAGCCCTATTTATAGTAAAAACAAAGGTTCAATTCCTGTTTCTGTTTCTCCCACCTGTGGGGCACAACTGACAAAAGATCTTCCGCATTTGGTGTGGAAGGAAGATTTATTATTGAATAAACTAGCCCGAGGACAGATTGTTTGCTTTTGTTCTGTTTGAACCCAAAAGCAATCAAGATGGCATTTCTAGAGAAATTTTTCTGAGAGCTTCTCTATGACTTTAACTGTGACTTGGAACAAGGAGAAGACTGTTAAACTCACTAGATACACAACTGCATTCCAGAGGACTAACATCACGGTGACCTTCTACCGCTGCACCATAGAGAGTATCTGAACTTATTGACCTGTGTCTGGTTTGCCAATTGCACAGTGGCAGATAGGAAAGCACTCCACAGAATGAACGTCATTGGCCAGAGGATCATGGGCTGCCCTCTCCCCTCTTTGGAAGAGCTTTATAGCTCCCGCTGCCTTAAAAAAGTTCAAAACATCCTCAAAGATCCATCTCATCCTGGGAACCCTTTTTTTGAACTATTACCATCTGGCAGACGGTACAGGACAATTAAAAACAAGGACAAATAGGCTGAAAAGTAGCTTCTATCCCAGTGCAGTAACTCTACTGAATTCTACTGTATAGTGCAATATTGATGCAGTATCAGAGGTTTTCAATTCAATGTGTGGAGTGTGAAGGATGTGTGTTTGTGTTATTTTCATAGTCATAATGTACACTAAAGATGTATTTAATTTCATTGTACGAGGTGCAATGACAATAAACTAAACTAAACTAATTCTTGGGGCACTTTGGGATTAAAGCTGAACTCTCTGAATTAATAATCTGGGCCTGTTTTTCCCACATGGCCCAGGAGAATGTGTAGGTAGTCTTCTACTCAGGACCACAACTGAATCCCAAATTTATCATGCAAAGCAAGATAATTATTAAGTGAGTTTTGCCCTGTTTTAGTCTTGCCAGAAAAGGATGAGGAGAAGATGGAGAAAACAGGGGTGGGTTAAGCTAAGGATGCCCAACTCTTTGTCTTTAGGCAGAGCTCTGAAAGCCCGAGAGAGTTAGTCCTCGACGTACAACCATTATTGAGCCCCAAATTTCTGTTGCTAAGTGAGACATTTGTTAAGTGGGCTTTGCCCCATTTGGCGACTTTTCTTGTCACACCCGTTAAGTGAATCACATTATTATTGTCCTAATAACACGGTTGTTAAATGAATCCATCTTCCCTAGTGACTTTGTTTGTCGGAAGGCTGCAAAAAGTGACACTGTCAGGGCTCCCAACAAATCCACCCTCATTCAAATCAAAAGTCTCTAGCCGCCTCTCAGAAAAAATAAACTGGTTTATTAGAAATTGCCATGTTGGTGCGTGGCTGGGTGCAACCAATACTAAATCACATCATACATTTCCCCCTTGACCCTGGTCTTTCCCCCATCCCCTGGATGTGACTTCTCCAATAGGACACATCCCTCTCCAAGAGTCATCCATCATGCTCTCCAAAAACCTTCTATGCTCCAACAACTTTGGGCTGCAGAGTTGATTATCTAGGCATTTCAAGAATGCCTTGTTTTCCCTCAGTCCCTTTTTCTGGCAGCTAAAAAGACCAAAGGAGTATCTTTTTAGTTGACAATTACATAACCCTGGGACATGGCAACTGTCACAAATAATATCAACCATTTGCCAAGCTCCCAAATTTTGATCAGGAATCCATAGGGAGGCTACAACGGTCATAAGTATGAGAAACAGCTCTAAGTCATTTTTTCAGTGCTGTTGTAAGTTCGAGCAGTCACCAAATGAACTGGTGTAACTTGAGGACTCCCTACATTGTGCTACCAAGATCAGCAAATAACCACAACTTGCGTGAAGTTCCAATGTGGCTTTTTCCAGTTTCAGAAGAATGCAACTTAGAAGCCTCGATTTGCTCAATGCTCCAAGTATTAACGTTGCCTTTTTTTCCCCCACAGCAAAATGCATCAGCTATGCACATTGCGGTGCTACGGAACCACCCAGCCATTGTCAAGCTTCTCATTGATGCTGAATGTGACCTTGATGTTCCTGATAATGTAAGGCTTTTTAAATTATGGAGACCAACGTGTTTAAGATCTAACAAAGCTTTGGCAGCAGATTAGAGTCCTTGCAAGCTCTTTGCCTAATTCATCATCATCAGCCTCTTTTAATAACCCCCATAATCCCTTGCGGGATGGAATCTGGGCAACTGAATGGAGCTGTGAGTTTACTGGCCAGATTCCCTTCCTGTTGCCAAGGTGGAGGTTTTTTTTTCAGCAGATATATTCTCAGTGTGCTCAGGGAGAGAAATATCTGCCTGTACCTAGGATCAAACTCACAGCCTCCTGATTGTGAGGTGAGAGCTGCACCTCTAGGCCACTGCACCACCTAATTGAAGGCATTTTAATGAGGTCGAAACAATTGTGGGAAAGGGGACACTTGGTTTAAGGGATCGTGTGTGCGCTTTTGTGCATGTTCAAGCATAGCTCTTCTCTTCAAATCCTTGGCGCTGCACTGCTTTCATTTCTTTCAATTAAATTATTTATTCAATTTAGTCGCTACTGCACTCCAGAACACCTCTGGGCAGCTTGGAACATTTGGAGGATAAAATCTAATATGAATAGAGAAAGAAAGAAAAAAAGCAAGTTAAAGAGACGGCAAGGAAAAAAATGGAGAACAAAATGGCAATACTGGTCAACAACCCAACAAATATACACAGATAATGGCTCAGTCACCTTAAATGAATGTCTAGGAGAAGGTAATGCCATCTGAGAGGGATCTATCTGGATCTCAAGGGGATCTAATTCCAGAAGACAGATGCCATGACAAGAGACGGGGCACTTCCTGGGTCTTTGAAGATGGCATTGCTTGGCTGAAGGCTCGTGGAGCTGGTTGCATTGGTTGTAAACTGAAAATTAAGTTCACTTGCTGGAATTCTTTGTCTAATAGTTCAGGCATCAGGCTGGAAACCGGGAGTCCGGGAGTTCTAGTCCCACCTTGGGCATGAAAGCTGGCTAGATGCTTTTGGGCCAGGCCCATTCTTTCCTCCCAACTCACCTCACAGGGTTGTTGTTGTAAAGACAAAAGGAGGAGGGGAGAGTATTAAATAAGGCAGCCATCTTGAATTATTTATAAAAAGAATAATTATGGAATATTGAAAAATTAATTAATTAAATCTCTAAATAAGATCTCTTTCTTTGAGAGAAGTGGACAGTTCATAAAATGCGAAATACAAATACATACATAATTTTATACCTATAGCTTTGTCGTAGCACATCCTGGTAATGAAATGGTTATGGAATCCAAGTTGGGGGGAAATTCCCTTTGAGTTCAGGCAGCTGCCCCAAAGTCCAAGGAATTATTGAAGGGGCTTATCATTATTTCTGGGGTGAAACTCAGCAGGAATTGGGAGCTGGCATTTTCCGCTAGGTATTCAAGATTAATTAACTATGATTAATATTGATATTTATGTGTGTGTGTGTGTGTAAGTTTTGCCATCATTTTGTATAACTTGGCACTTTTGGATGCTGCTGCAGCTGCTATTATATTACTGCTATCCTTGGAGTGCTGACATTGTTTGGTGGGTGGGGTTTTTTCTTTCGAGAGTGGACATTGGAATTTCATTTTAATATGTGTACTACAGAAAAATAACAGTAAAGGCTACTTATTTCTTATCTATCCCTTTGATTCAGTTGGCTCCCTCCTGCTGGAGCTTCTTGTCCCCACAAGGTGCCAAAGGTGGAAGAGAATGCCTCCTTAAGGCTACAGGAAAAGCTTTTATAACCAGATCCCCAAAAGCGGTTTATCTCAATGCTAAGGAACGGATGCTTCTCCCAAATTCTTTGCAGTGCTGATTTCTGATTCTCTATTTTTGCTTTCAGAGGAAACAGAGCCCTCTTCATATTGCAGCAGAGCACGGAAGGCAAGATATCGCTGAGTTGATCCTCATGGCTGGGGTGAATTTAAAATTAACTGACAAGGTAACGTCGCTGTTTTGCTATGCATGAAATCTTACCTCTTTGCAAACATGTGCCAGCTGTAGCCACACAGGATTTTAGCATGAGAATGCACCAGGGATGTTTTAAAGGGAACTTACCTTATACATCCCACATTTGATCTACAAAAATAATGTTTTTCAGTGCACATCCTGTCCCCATTATATTTTTTTACTCCTAGAAATTCAGATGGGCCAGTCCCTGATGCTCTTAACTTAAGACAGTCAAAATAGCCCCCTCCGGGAGGGCAATAGGTAGTAGATGCCACTTAGCTTCATGCTAAGGGTGGTGGCATTGTTGTTGTTCTTATGAGTAGTATTAGCTTATTTTAGGAACTTAACCCAGCTCCCGGTGCTACATAAATGAAAGGAAGGTTGCAATCTGGGCTTGTGTGATTAATGATTGTGGTGATTTGTTTAACAACTGTGGCAACAAAAAAACATTAAAAAAATCAGTTGTGGTCAGAGGATGCTTTATTTAATGACCAAGATGCTTAACAATGAATTTTCCAGCCCCAACGGTGGTTGTAAGTCAAAGACAAACTGGTCATACAAGATAGAGGGAATGGTTGCATCTCCTGGTCAAAATGATTTGAGGGCAAAGCATCTAAACGTTCCAGTGTGACACCTCTTTTATATAATAACAGCATTTGAAGATGATGGATATATGAGGTCATTGTAGCAGAAGTGTCCTGGGTTAAATCTGTCCTTCGGGACCTCATCAAAGCTTCTCTGCTAGACTTCATTCTAGGTTTTGTCTAAGCCTACTATAGGGAGATACTGGAGAGCAAACTCACAATGGATCATATCAGATGTTACTGGCTTCTATGTCAGGGAATTATATGAGTTTATCAATACAGGTTGGATGGAAAATCCATCTATATAGATATTTTATCTTCTGTGATAACAGAGTTTTACTGAATCGGGCTTCCAGATATTCAGCTCAACAGTCCCAAAGGTGCTTTTTCCAAAATGCAATAGGACTTTTTGGTTTGTTGGTTTTCCTTGAAAACGTTTCTCTTCTCATCCAAGAAGCTTCTTCAGTTCTAATTGACTGGTGAGGAATGGAAGGATTTAGATATTCTTTGCAGTCATCTGGTTGTTAGCACTAAATCCTTCCATTCCCCAACAGTCAGTCAGAACTGCAGAAGCATCTTAGATGAGAAGCTAAAAGTTTTCAAAGAAAAAAAAACCAAGAAAGTGCAGTTGTCTTTTGGAAAAAGCAGTTTGGGACAACCATGACCTGGATGACTGAGAATCTCCACAGACATTCAGCTCGACCGTAAAATATAAAATGCTTGAAAATTCCTCCATGCTTTAAAAAATCACAGTGTAAGATTGTTATCTAATAATCTGCATGGCATCAGCTACACAGGATGTAAATTCTGTTTTCCATTACATCAGGCAGAACTAAATCTAAGATTCTGGGATAAGTATCTATCAATCAGTGGAGTAAACACAGTCATGATATGGCCAAAGTTAAATATTTGCTGCCCATTTATTTTTAAAAACTCCAATGTTTTGTCTTGTTCAACTCAGAGGATTTATATATTTTTTTTCTGCAGCAAGGAAAAACATCTCTGGACGTAGCTGCCCGTGGGAACCACGTCAGTTTGGTTGATATGATCATCAAAGCGGATAGGTTTTACAAGTGGGAAAAAGTAAGTGGGATTTGTGGTTCTGAGGTGACCGAAGGAGGTGAAGGAAGTTGAGGGCTGAGGAAATACAGGACCCCAAATGAAAAGAAATTAACTGGGCGGAAGGGAAAGAGCAGAAAATGGTTTTTGGTAATAAAGATAAGCAGTTAATTGTGCAGGGGGGAAAAACAGGCAAGCAGGAAATTGTAGCTGTAGGATGGAATCGGAGGCAAAGAACTTGCTGGAATTTTCTGTCAAAACTTGGGAGAATTTCTCCAGAGGAAACCGAAACCCTGCAATTATTTCTCAAGAACAAAAATCTCTCTTTGTGACAACAAAAAGCCCAGGGACTGGGCTTTGCAAAAAGCCCAGGGACTTGATTGATTGATTGATTGAGCTGTATGGCTTGCCATCTCATTTAAGTACCTCTGGGAGGGTCACAACAGCTAAAAATGATCGAATAAAATGGATGGAAATGTGAAAAGCCAGGGAGACTGCAGAAGTCTGATGACAAGATGGCTAATACTGTAGGACATTTATTGGACATGCATTGCATGTCCACCTTGACATTAAATAGCTGCAAGAACATGCAGTCCCTTCCTGGGATATTTTTACCATCATCCTCTTTCCTTTGAATGGTTTTTTTTGAAAGCCACTTCGTTTTCGTCAAATGGAGTAGTAAGATAGAAAAGAATATCTGTAGCTCAGGGATGAACTGTGGGTCCTTGGTTCTTTCTGAGCTTGATGTTTTCTTGCAGACATTTTGTGACCCAACTAGATAACATCATCAGTACTGGAAAGGAATAGGGTTGGTTCTTATTTTTATATGCAAAAGGCTTGCCCAGTCAGTGACGGTGGGACTGGATTTGGTAGCTCTTTGATTGTGCTGTTGTTTACCGTTAGTGTGTTTGTCTGACACACTATTGTATAACCCAAGATATTGTTGGCTTCTTGATTGTTGATCTAATGTTAATCTTGGTGCTAATTTCAGCTCATCAGGATGTTGATTGCTTAGTAAACACCACTCCCTACTGGCACTGATGATATTACCTAGTATGGTAATGAAACACCTGAAAGAAAACAAGCAACCTCAGAGAGCACTAAAGACTCCACCAACTAGTATTAACTGGTAGAAGAAATGCAGGATAATGAGGAACCAGACAAGAGAGATCTTGAAGATTGAAGGGCAGGAGGTTTTAGAAGGAAAGGGAACGGAGTAACAAAAAGGCAGTGACATTCCCCCTTTTTATGGACCATGGCAGTCTCTGATGTGGCTGGAACATCCAAAGGCTTAGGGTTGGTGGACATCTTACTCTAATCCATATTGCGGTTTGTGGGATTTGGGCTTCGGACATTGGGTGAACCAAGTCCTCAGGGTGTGCTGAATCATAGTTTACTGGTTTCGATGTAAGCTATGGTTAGATGTCTGGTGGTTGGATCGGTGTTTTTCAACCTTGGCAAGTTTAAACTGTGAAGATGTCAACTCCCAGAATTCTCCAGCCAGCTGGAAGTCGAAGTCCACACAGCTTAAAGTTGCCAAGGTTGGGAAAAACTAGGTTAAACAAACCATGACAAACCAGCTTTGTGTACTGCTCAGAGGTAGATGAAGAATTAGAAGTCAGTTAAAAAGGATATGATAAAGTTGACTCAGCCTTACATCCTTCCGAGGTGGGTAAAATGAGGACCCAAAATTGTTGGGGGCAATATGCTGACTCTGTAAACTGCTTAGAGAGGGCTATAAAGCACGGTAAAGTGATATATAAGTCTAAGTGCTATAATCCATTCCATGTTTAGATCTGTGGGGATGATTTGCCCCACAGCTCCTCCATTTGCCCCCTATAGAAGAGTCGTTACAGGAATCAAACCTTGCTCAGCAAGACAGTGATTCTAAGGGACTGTACTCAATCATTAAACAAAACCTGGGGTGTTTTAACCATGGTTTGTTGAATAACCATAAGTATCTGGGTTCATACTGTGAACCGTGAAGGAAATTGTGACCTTTTATCTCCAGGATAACCTCAACAGCGATTCGGATTCCTGGATAACCGAGCGTTTAACTTTCAAGCAAGACCATCGGCTGGAAACGCGACATATCCGTTCGGTGATATGGCGGCTCGCAACCAAATACCTCAAGGCCAATGAGTGGAAGAAACTTGCACACTACTGGAAATTCACGGAGGCGCACATCCGTGCAATTGAACACCAGTGGACAGGTAGGTGACACTAGTGACTTTCTTCCCACCTGCTGCTGAATAGGAGACCAGGGACCGAGATCCCCATTCTGGTGGTTCCTGAACATATGAGGTGGCCTTACTCCCGAGTCGCCCCTTTTGTCTCAGCTGCTCTTGCCTTCTAGCAGCTCTGCACACACACACACACACACACACACACACACACACACACACACACAC